TAACATATCGAAAAATAGCGAAATACTTACGTTAACGTTAACTTTCAAAGGTTTTCACTAGAAAAAATTTCCTGATGTGGTTCCGATTCACATATCTGCTAGATGAAATTTTGATAAATACTTCTGATATATGGAGTAAGATAAATTAATCGATCTATTTTTATATTACATGATTTTGATACTTTATGTTGACTCATACTGATTCAGTAATACGTAAAGGTTATCAAAAATGTAATACGCAAAAGTTATCAAAAATGTAATATGCAAAAGTTATCAAAAATGTGATCTAATTTTTTGATATGAAACAAAAGTACTCGAAGATACTAACTATGAGAGAAAGAGTTTCAGAATTGAAAAACATAGTAAACTTTCAGTAATACGCAAAGGTTATCAAAAATATAATATACAAAAGAGATCAAATTTTTTAACATAGAGCAAAGTATTCGAAGGCACCAACTATGCGAGAAAGACTTCCAGAATCGAAAAATATAGTAAACTTTCGGTAATACGCAAAGGTAGAATAATATAAGGAAAGAGGTAAGAAAAAATTGTGCTTTTACGTATTACCAAATGGAGATATCATTTTGGCAATATATGTATCAAACCCAATAATCAAAGTAGTAATAATATCAACTATATGAGAAACGATTCCAGGAGGTGAAAACATAGCACAGTTTTGGTAATACCCAAAGGCAGAATATTATAAGGAAAGAGATAAGATAAATTTTTGCTTTTACGTATTACCAAATAAGTGATAACAATTCAGCACTGCGTGCCTCATCATCGAGTGATATTCGAATGAATTATGCGAAGCTAACAACTGCTAACAATTCGGCATTACGTACCTCATCCTCAGGTGATATTTGAAGGAATTATACAAAGCTAATAACAGTTAACAATTCGGCACTACGTGCGATAGGTTTGATATATTTTTTGTCATCCCAAAAACCTTCCAGTTGAGAATAGATGCTTCACTATGTTTCACATCAGGACCTGCCAGGTGGAACTATTTTGGCACTACATGCCTCAACTCTGGCCCTCATCGAGAAATTAATCAGAAAGCTAGGATACTACGTGCCCAGTTCGGACATAGCCTTCACATCGGACCACAAATGACGACACGTGACTGAATGCATTGTCAAATATATTTTTTATCCATGTGGCTAACTTTTGGTATCAGACTACATGCTCACTGCCAACCCGATATATGTCAGTTCGAGTACGGTCTAAAAAGCAAAATGCACGTCACATTAGCATATGTCTTAGTGGCTCTCAAATGATGATACAAATGTAACCTATATGGCACCCGATATGTAGACTACTATAGTCTCAGGTGTGCGGCCTAAAAAGCAAAATACACGTCACTCGAGTGTGGCCTAAAAAGCAAAATGCACTATACCTGCCACCCAAATTCAAAATCCAAATGCCGAAATCCCAAATGCCAAAATCCCAAATCCCAAATCCCAAATTATGATTAGTATTTTTTGCCGAAATCCCAAATCCCAAATCCCAAATACTAGTAATTTGGGATTTTGGCATCCCAAATTCCAAATAATTTGGGATTTGGGCAACACGTATAATCCTCACAAGGAAATCAAATTCGATTAACCTTTACTCAATGAAGCTTAGAGACAGCAAATTGATAAATTATTTACAGAATATGTTGACATATTTGCTAAAAATATCTCAGAAGAAGGACAGACATTGAAATTAGGACAAACTACTGAAATAGTACATGAAATTAAGACTGGTGATACTAGTCCTATCAAGCAAAGGGCCTACTGAGTTGCATCTAGCGAAAGGGAGTTTTTACAATAGGAAATTACTGCAATGTTGGATAAAGGAATTGTGCGAGAATCACAAAGTCTCTGGTCCTCGTCTGTAGTGATTGTACCAAAGAAAAATGAAAAATGACACTTATATGTTGATTATCATAAATTAAATAAAGAAATTGAAAAAGATGTATATCCCTTGCCCATTATTGACGACATTCTTAATTCCTTTAAGGATGCCAAATGGTTTACAAGTTTAATACCCTTTGGCTTATGCAATGCCCCTGTTATCTTTCAAAGATTAATGAATAAAACCTTATAACCTTACATTGGAAAAATCGTAGTAGTCTACTTAGATAATTTGATCATATACTCTAATACCTTTGAAAATCATTTAAAATACCTTGCAATTATTTTTGATACCTTACAAAAAGCAAATTTGAAAATTAACTTAGATAAATGTCAATTCTGCTTATCAGAAACTAAATTTTTAGGTCATGTTATCTCTGACAAAGGAATCCTACCTGATAAAGACAAGATTATTAAAGTTAAAAACTTTAATAAACCAAATAACTTATATCAATTAAGAGAATTTTTGAGATTAATCTCTTACTATCGTAAATTTATTGAAAACTTTTTTAAAATTACTAAACCACTTAACAAATTATTACAAAAAGATGTCAAATTCGAATGGACTGAAGCACAACAACAGTCTTTTAAAACTCTAAAGGAAAAATTAATTTCTGTATTGATCTTAAGACATCCTGATTTTAACCAACCTTTTTACTTGTATACTGATGCATCTGAATCAGGATTAGGTACAGTACTTGCACAGAAAGAATGCAAAAATGAATATGCCATTGCTTATGCAAATAGAAGCTTAAATAAAGCTAAACAAAATTATTCTACAAATGAATTAGAGTGTTTAGCTATAGTATAGGTTGTTGAACACTTTCGTCAATATTTTGGAACTACACACTTCTATATTATCACTGACCATTCTGCTTTACAATGGTTAAGGACCACAGAATTAAGAGGAAAATATGCTTACTGGATCTTCAGATTAGAACCTTATAACTATACTATTTTACACAGACCAGAAAAAAAACATAACAATGCTGACTTCTTATTCCGAATGTATGAAATTTAACAATTAAATTATTAAAATCTATTGAAACAATATAATAATCTGACCAAGTTAAATCAAAATCCAATTTAGGTTGTCGGTATCCTGGCATTCAAATTTTTAAACCTTTTAATTATTTAAACACTTTTATTTTATTTAAATATGGATTCTCAAGAATACCAATACCTTTTAAAATACTTATCCCAACAACACTTACCTACAATTGATAATAAAACCAAAAGAAGATTAGAATTAAAAAGCAGATTTTATCAAACACAAA